CAAAAACACCATACTCCGAGGAAGATATCATCAAAACATTCTGTGTCAGTTTATATATAGCATCACACTAAGTTATGGTTTGATTCAACCATGGTTTATTCACAATAGCTAGATTCACATGAAATACTGAACCATAATAACATATATTGTTTAGGGCAATATGTGACCCTTGATATTTTTTCTTTAATACAGCTTTTCTATCCTCTTACCTTCAAAATGTGTCATATACCAGTTCTAACTTCCAATACATCTGACTTGAGAAAAGATACACTTGTTCAGGCAAAGGTGTTACTGCAATGGAATTTGTGAATTTTGTGATTTCCATTCTTTGTTATTTTTCTTACATACTGCCTCTATTAATAAAATGTATAACCCACAGAGTCCCTGTTAGACAATCCCAAAGCAGGGAACAATTAAATAAAAGTAATTAAAAACAAATGTCAAACAATTACCAATAACCAGTCCTCTAAAATCCCATAAATTAGAAACCACAAAACTGCCCAAAAATCAAACACTGCAACAAGTGCAAGGAAGCACAACTGGACAAATCTATCCATCCTGGTTAAATGTATCTTAAAAGTTCACAGGGTTCACTGGCAAACATCCCTGAAAAATTGAGGGAATTCCACAACTGGGACATTTCCATCAAGAATGTCCTTTCTTGAATCTCCCTGGTAAATGCAGCATCTTGAAATGACACCCCACCCCCCCCACTCCAGACTAAAATTCCTTTGATCGGCAAGTACATGAGGGAGGAACTGCTGTGCCAGATATCAAGATCTAAGCTGCTGGATGTCATTGTACATATAGCTTCCAGTGTGAATCAAGCCCTCGGGGGTTCATTCTAGTAGCTTTCTTTTGGAGAACCGTAGAGTCTCATTACACAATCAGCTATCAAGATAGTGGCTCACATACTTATAGGTGGTGAAAAGGAACACCCCATAACATTATATTATAAATCCCACTAAATATAGTGGGATTTGCTTTCAAACAAATATGGATAAAAAGGATCAGGTTGCATTTAAATTTCATTCATACCCAAAGGCACCAAGTTGTTTTAGCTTTCCTTGAAAAGTGAAATGCTCCAATCCTAAATAATTTAGATTGCTTTCTTCCTGCATTACATTTTCTTCAGATATATCTACAGCCATTTGGAAATAGGCAGATCAGACGTACAGAGTGATTTCCATGCTGGCGTTTAAAGATATGTACCAAGGGTATCTTTATTAATGAGATTCAGATAATGCTTTACAAATCTTGTAACCAAAAGACGGCAGGTGAATTATTTGGATGCCTTTAGAGGGTATTATTGCCTTCCTTTAAAAAAAAAAAAGTCATTGCCTAGCCATTGTATTTGGTTAGGCAATGGATTAAAAAGGGGCAGATTCTTATTTCCCTCACAAATTTACACAAGGCTTTGTTTTAAGCACTCACTTTATATTAATAAGAGGTGCAAACTACATATAATATGTGTACATCTACATATATCATTACCATAATCCTAAAAAATATTAATGTGGAACAAATCCAAAAATTTAAAAGCACTTTAAGAGATCCAATATATACTCTACATGGATCTTATCAAATTGAATGGTTGACCTAATACCATGCAGTTCTACTCAGAAGTAAGGCCTTTTCTCTTCAGTGAGTCTGAATATCAGATTTTACAGCTATTCATTGTCTGCTCATTTTGTATGGCTTTTTAAAAAAAAATCTGAAACATGTTCAAGCTCTAAAACCCAAGCGAAGAATACAGCTAGGGTATATTTAATGTTCATGCAGAATTGAAACACATGCCCCAAATCTTTCTACCCCATACTCTTCTTTTACAAATTAAATAACAGCATTGCTGGATTGGCGGGAGGGGGGAAGAGAGGAAGGGGGGGCAGGGCAGCTGTAATTTTGTAATGCCTTTTGTGCATGATGGTGGATGTTAAACTTTTCCTTGCACCATTTCTCTCTATGAACTTCCCTAGATGTACAGAGTTTCATCCATATAGCTATGATTATAATTATTTTTATTAAAAAATGAAAGGGAAAAAGCAGGGGAAATATTTTGAAAGTCAATTAGAATTTTGTGTACGTTTTCATTTTTTAATGATAAATTAAGTTACTAATTTTGTCCGTGCTCTTTGTAGACACTGCAGGTTTAATTGCTAATTGTTAACTGCGAATGAATACATTTGCATATTAATTAGCTCCCAATTTACATTTTTAATTTGCTTCCTTCAAAAGGTGCAAGATAAAAGGTCGCGTTATTTTAAATAATTTATGCTTTATTGCATGAAATACACTAATATGAAATGTGCCTACTAATTTTAACCCCTTTCCTGAAGAAAGAAAGAAAGAAAGAAAGAAAGAAAGAAAGAAAGAAAGAAAGAAAGAAAGAAAGAAAGAAAGAACAGAGAAGAACATTAAAAAGGAATAAATAATGAGGAGGAGTTTTGAAAAATGGCATTATCTTGTGTTCATTTAGAGAATAAAATGTGTGTTTTTCCCCCCATAAATTGATCTGGCTAAAAATGAATATATTATTTTCTTTTTCATCATTTTGTTCAATTGTCTTTGTTTGTTTTAAGAATAAAACTGCTGCTGAAAGGATATTAATTGCTGTTGTTTCCAACAGAGGATTAAGAGAAGAAAAAAAGGATCTATTCTTTTTCTACTATCCAGCCCTGTCCTGTCTCAATAAAATAAAGACAGATACCATGTCAAAGTAATATACCATGTTTTCCCTATCAAATAATCTTGCTTTCATTTCCATGATCAGTTGTGGATGAAAAAAGAAGAGAGAAGCTTTTGATTATGGGATGAGTCCTTCTGAAGGAATGCTTCTTTGTCTATTTTAAATAACCACAAATTATCTGTTTTGCAGGGGATTTTCAGCAAAGCTGCTAGATTCCTTTTTATATAGATTGAAACATGCATATGATTTTCTCACAGTCTTCTGATTAAAAAATACAATATATATTAAAATATATGAAAAATTCAGATGAGATCAGTAAGTATGCAAAATTCTGCCTTTTTCCCAAAATGTTTCTCAAAAGAAAATTGCAGTAAAATTAAGTGTTAATTTATAGAAGAAGACTCCTGCAAGGTTTTTTTTAATTATAAGAAATCCCTAATCTGTGACATCACCTTATACTTTAGAAATGAACAACACAATCATTTATCATTTTCTGTAATTGGATTGGTGTCAGGAGGTGATAAAATTTATAAAAATAATGTCAGAGATGCTTCTACATTATCTAAAACCAAACAGATTATTTTTAAATGCAATATATAGGTACCATATGTACTTTATATATTTATATACACTTCAAAAATGTTGTCTCCTTTTATGCATGTTAGATATAAAACAGAATTGCAGTAGGGGCATTTTCTTTCTTTTTTCCTGAATAAAGCTAATTTAGGAAGCATGACTGATACAGATGAATACGTTTTGAAATCTACCTAAATAAATTTGCCATTTCCAATGTAGAAAATGTGAATTGGAACATAGTTATATCACACTGTTCATAGTTTTGTGATATAATTTTGCAATGAAACATTTACACAGTAATACACAAAATGTTTATCTGTGTAAAAATAATATAGCCAGTATATTACACTAGGAACAATTTGCAAATGATTGTCCATTTGCCAAAAGTGGATACATAAATACATATATATTAGAGAGAGAAAATAAACATGCATGCAGAATTTTGTGAAAACAATTTTCACGAACGGTTGCAAAATGACCCCAAAGAAACATAATGAAACTGAAAAAAACTGCAATAGAATTTTATCAATTTAAGCATCCCTAGATTCTGTAGCAAAGAAGCAAAAGGATAGAAAGAAGGTATAATTCTTTCCTATTGGCCACTGTATTTTAAATTTATCTGAGACAACTTCACCATCATTTGGACAAGGTTCCTACTACATGTTTTGCAAAACCCTTTTTTGGGAAGTCCATGAGAAGAAAGCATGGAGAGCATTTTATGCAAGGAAATGGTAGGAGGAGAAAGGAATAAAGCACCTTATTTGAGTATCAAAGAGGGAATACTGATTTAATGGCACATCATCAATCAGAATCAATTTATATAAATAAAGATTTTTTTCCCCCTAACTAAGAAGAAATAAAAAATGTAGCGATTGAATTGTTGGGAATGTTTAACCAAACAGAAGCAAAATTAACCACTCCAGTATATTGTTAGCATTACAGCCTCTGTTCTCCAGATGGTGAAAATTCCAGGAGTGCACAGAATTATCCACAATTTGATTTCCTTGGAATGAGATCCCAAAAGTGCTTTTTCAAAAGGCAACTGAACTTTCTTTGTTTTTCCTTAAAGACATTTTGCTTCTCATCCAAGAAGGTTCTAATCCAAGTTCTGAACTGAACTAGCTTCTTGGATGAGAAGTGAAATGTCTTCAAGGAAAAGCAAAGTAAGTCCAGTTGCCTTTTGAAAAAGTACCTCTGGGACAACCATGACCTGGATTACTGAGATCTCCATAGACACTTGGAATGATATATTAAATGCATTGGAAATTTTCATTTTTATTCACACCATGGAACATTGAAATTTAAACATATGAACCTCATTAGGTAGACATTTTCTGAAGATGTTTCCATAACAGGATTTTCATCTCCAACAATCCTGTCCAAATCTTCAAAACAATGCATATTTATCACATTCCTTGTTGCACAGAAGTGGCAAATAATGCAGTATTTATTAAGTATAAAAAAATAATTAACAGTGACCTAAGTAATATCTGCCAGATCAAATGTGGTGAACTGACCTCTACAATTTTCTTAGCGAAGAAACTGTAGGGCACATATGCAGCCAAATTAAATATCCTAGGTATTTTCTCCCCTGAAAAAATTCCACGGGGGTGTGGGGAGGTAGGGGGAAGAGTACATGAGAAAAATCAATGTCTGGCTGCACATTAATGTATGTCTTTTGCCTCTGACCCTCATCTAACATTTGAATTGGTTGACTTTGCTTTCTGGATTGACATACTGGCTATTGTTCTTGTGGATCTTTGGATATGCGTAACTTTTTCTGGAATTAGAACTCTCACAGTACTTGCAGTTCTTCAGCCGTTCCTTCCTTCCACCCTGACAATCTCTTCCTCCTGCAAAAGAGGAAATTCTGTATTTCATCATGGAATGCAGTTAAAAGCCAGAGTTCAGAGTTCCTGCTGTTGCTCTTTTCTACTCTTACAGGGAGAACATAAGATGATGATGATGATGATGATGATGATGATGATGATGATGACGATGATGCAGCATATATCATACCACTTGGGGGGGGGGGGCGAAAGCCCTACTAAGCAAGTATATACAAAAGTATGAAGGCTATTGCTTAACGCATTGTAAGCCGCCCTGAGTCTCCGGAAAAGGGCAGCATATAAATCGAACCAATAAATAAATAATAAATAAATATATGTGCAGAAAGGAATTAATCAGTCACCATGTGTAAATAGGTTTGTGAGAATCTATTCACGTATTTATTGGGGGGGGGGGAAGGGAATGTATGTGAATGAGTAGATCTCCAAGCCACACTCAGAGCCAGCTCTAGCCTTTCTTACTATAGCATATCTCTTAAGTATCCATCCACTAATGTATTGCTTCCACTCAGTAAATGTAGAGCTATTGCAAACTGAGAATAACTGCAGTTTAACTCTCTTAACAATTTCTATAATCTTTTATAGTGAGATATTATGTGGTCAGCTCCATCTCCCCTGGAGGACCTAACTGGACTACTAAAAAAGTCTCATCATCTAACTTTTCAATCTTCAGACTTAAAAGCTAAGGAGCTGGTAGTTCTATAATTTAGAGCATAGCTAGATAATCTTGTAGTGACTGTAGGATTGTAATGAACATTGATTGAGTAGGGATGAGGCAAAAACTGCCATGGGTAAGGTAAAGAATGGGATAGTCTGCCTTTCCCATAACTTTTAGAGCACTATTTAAAATTGTGAATCCTATTTTAAGGTATACACTAAACATTGTATTTCCTGCCTCAAAATAATGGTAAGCCATGCCATTGATGTTTATCAATCATGTTTGAAAGAATCTACAGGGATTGCAACAGCAGCTTTCAATCGGAATAGAGCTGGAAGGGACCTTGGAGGTCTTCTAGTCCAGCCCCCTGCTCAAGCAGAAGATCCTATACCATTTCAGACAGATGGCTCTCCAGTCTTTTCTTAAAAACCTCCAGTGATGAAGCATCTATACCTTTTGAAGGCAAGCTGTTCCACTGGTTAATTGTCCTTGCTGTTAGGAAGTTTCTCCTTAATTCCAGGTTGCTTCTCTTCTTTATTAGTTTGTATCCATTGTTTCTTGTCCTGCCCTCTGGTGCTTTAGAAAATAAGTTGACCCCACTCCTCTTTGTGGCAGCCCGTCAAATACTGGTATATTGATAACATGTCCTCCCTAGTCCTTCTTTTCTCTAGACTGGCCATATCCAATTCCTGCAACCATTCTCCATATGCATGTTCTTCACCTATGAGCTTATAGCTTCCTCTTTCCTGAAGTTGTCTTCTCCAGAGGCCTCTGATCTTCCTTTTATCTTTAGTTTTCTTTATTTCAAGACTTCTGCCTTGAGCTACTTGTGCTCCCTCTATGATCCTTCATTTGGTGCCAGAATGGGACAACACCATTGTCCATACAATAGTAAAATGTGACCCTTTCCTGAGTTCTTCCTGAATTAGATTTTTAAAATCTAATTTATTGTATTATGTATCAGATGCACAGGTGTAATCCAGCAGGTTCTGACAGGTTCTGGAGAACCGGTAGTGGAAATTTTGAGTAGTTCAGAGAACTGGTAAATACCACCTCTGGCTGGCCCCAGAGTAAGGTGGGAATGGAGATTTTGCAATAGCCTTCCCCCAGGAGTGGGGAGGGAATGGGGATTTTGCAGTATCCTTCCCCTGCCACACCCACCAAGCCACACCACATGCACTAAGCCATGCCCACAGAACCAGAAGTAAAAAAAATTGGATTTCACCACTGATCAGATGTCACTGCAATGATCATTCACATACTTCCACCACTGGCAAGGTTGAGAAAAACAGTAAAAATATGTGTGTTTTCCTCTAATAGAATCACAAAGGGCAGTTCCATTTCCTCTTTGCATATTATGGATGGGATACCCAAAGGTGCTTTTTTTTTTCAAGAGGCAACTGGACTTTCTGGTTTTTCTTTGAAGACGTTTTGCTTCTCATCCAAGAAGCTTCTTCAGCTCTATTGATGGGATAGGCAGTGCATATTTGGATATAGATTTAGTAGATGTAATGGAGAAAGGGAATTCAGTGCATTCTTTGTAATTTGCGATCCCAGATTATAAATTAGTTCTGAGTAATCTTCAGCATGGGACTAAATGCCCAACAGATTAATACTGTATACAGTTTTATAAACCTTGTGGAAAATTTCTGATTCTTACTTGATCGGTGGTAAAATCTGCAGAAGATTGTAGTGCAACCATCCAAGATCATTCCAATGATAAGTGATTATTATTTTAGTGCAGAAGGGTTCTCCTCCTACTGAGATAGTTGTACAATTTATTTTAGTTGCAACAAAGTTTAGAGCAGTTAGCAGTAGGGAAAAGACTGAGAAGATTCTAACCCTGAGTTAAAATTGACTTCTATATTTTTTTTTAGGCATTTGAAAACACAGGCATACAACCTATCAATATCATGCGGCAAAATGACACTTCTTTCATTTCCTATGTTGCATGCTGATAACACTTCTTAAAAAGGTTCTGCGTGTAGTAGTTTATTACTTGATTTTTTAAGCTACTTAGGGTTTTTCCCCCCATCTCAAACTCTGCAAGAAATAATAGCAGTTAAGTATTATTCCCCATTGTTATGCCAGGTGTAGACAAAAATGATATATTTCTAGTTTATTAGCCCATTTCCTAAATTTATAGAGTTGGTTTTTTTTCTCACCATGTCTCTCCCTTTCCAATTTGAATATGTCCATTTAGGGTCACCTGCATTAACAAAACACTTTAATTATGTTTCATGCATACAAATTCACAATAAACTAAATGAAACCAGAGCGCGAGTGAAGGGAACATCTAGGACGATTGAAAACTAATTAGTTTAGCACAGTTGCAATTTGATAAAGAGGAGGGAAAATTAATGTCAAACTGAGGATTGTTAGAAAATGAATTGTCCTTGATGGAGATGAGTTGAATTTCGTGTATACCTTCTGTACACAAGCACACAAAACGGTTACTTGAATACAGCAGATCTTGACTTTTACATTATGTTCCAAAGGTTGATCATTCATGGTAACCGTCAAGAACCTAAATTCTTTTTGGTTTACCTAAACATTTCAATAAAGCTTCATGCATCATAACACATCTTCTCTGTTGATGCTAAGCATGGAGCTTCTAGAACAAAAGTATAGGAAGAAAACAACAGCAATATGTTTGATTGATCATACATGGGGAAATATTTCTGAAATACAGTTGGTGATAACTGTGTGAATTTTTTTCTCATGCACTTTCATTCATATAAATGATTTTTAATTTTTTAAAAACCCTAAAGTATGTCTGTGTAATTTTAGAAAATAAGTTTATTGTTAAGATTAATTTATATGTGAGTCTTCAACTCCCTTTATTTTTATTTCTGTGCTTTACTTTTATAAAAGTATCCCCCAACTCCCCAGCCACAGAAACCCAATCAATTCTCCAAATTTCTGTGGATTGTATCCATTAAATCTAGATAAGTCTGAATATTGGTATATTTTTTTTAAAAAAAGACCCACAGTACTGCCTCCCCAGGAGGTGTCATTTCAAGCAACTTGAAACTGTAGTTCATTAGGAATTGCACCTTCAAGATGCTGAGATGCAATTCTCTTTTCTTGTCTTTTTTTTTATTTGGTGGCCCCTCCATTCTAGGCAGTGTTGGATTACCGGAATGGTTTTCCCATCAAATGTTGAGCAAATTGACCACACGGAGTCTTTGATGGACTTTTAACCATTCAAACAAGCTCTACTGAATAGCACTGAGTAGATGGTATGGCTGATGAGGTATCATTTTCAGTCTCTAACCTAAACATTCACTTACAGGTTCTTTTTCCTTATTCAATGACAGTTGTGCAGGTGGTTGCACATTAAACGTCTCCATGAGAAATGTTCTGGATTTTTTTCCTCCTGCCATCCTGATCTCTGAGGTTTGCATTTCTCTTGCACAGTCGACAAGAATTTAAATGGCAAATATAGCCTCATGCCTTCGTGCTAATTGACCTTCACGATCAGGAAAAAACAAGGCAAAACTTCTTTAACCAGAGCACTCTCTTTTCTAATGCATGCATTTTATGGCCTCTGATGTATATGGCTCTATTAGTGTCTATGAACATAGAACAATGAAGCTAGTTAATGTATTATTTATTTTATTACAGCTTTGTATCAACTGCCTTTTTCTAATTTGGAATGTTATATGCTTTTGTTCTGTAATGGTTTTGTAATGTGCATACAGTCCAGTAATTAAAAATATATATCTTGGCCCTTCACCTTAAAAGTCAAGTTTATTTACCCTGGCTGAATGCAGTCAGTCTTAGATCTGGTAAAGGTCCACGGGCTTCTTGTGCCTTTTAAGACTTCATTCTTGAGGTCCAGACTGGGCTGGGCTACACCATTCCATCAAACAAAGGCTAGCTTAGCGTTGCAGATTAGACTCATCATCCACTTGAGATAAAAGGATTTCATCCATTCTGATTGCGTTTCAAGTGACTGGAGTCACCAGGGGTTATCAAGAACAAATAAAACCAAATCATGACTGCTTTTTAAATATAGTTACGAATTTAATTGACCATCAGAAAGTAATATGTATAATCTACCTAAATTCATAGTCCCTCTTCAGCACAACTCCAGGTTTCTGAGATCCAGAAACAAAGCCACACAACATAAAATTAAAAATGTAAAGAGGAGCCAGGGCACTGGTTGGATTCCAGTCTTTTATTGGTCAGTTGGAGAGGACATTGGTTGGTTTATGATATTCTCAGTATTAAAGGGTCAAAGTCAATGAAAATGATTGTCAAGTGGGTTAAAACTATTTTTGGGGAATGAAGTGTATGGTAATACACCAACTATAA